AAGCAGTTCCTGGGGTCAGCTGGGCACATTGAAGGTTCAGACTGGGAAGGCAGGAGCACAGCATCAGCTGAGCTGAAAACCAGCGCTCCTCCCGAGAAGCTTAGGAAAGAAACAAACACTCAGGGCTGAGCTTAAGTAGATCACCTGGAATTGTGGGTATGTGTGGAGATTCCAACCTGAGGCAGGCCAGGGCCATTTTGGCTATCAGTGCACTCAGGCACCTTGGCTACACGCTGTGTGTTAGCTAAAATTCTTCTACCTCCTGTGTTTATTACATCTGACAAATGTTGTTCACCCTTGTGCTAAAGTAGGAATATTTTAGCTGGTTTTGCTAGGTTTGCTCTGAAGCTTGAGTACTTAGCTAGATTCTGTTGGCGGATTAAAAGAAGTCAATTTTTTTCCACACAGGAAGGCCTTTTTCAAAAACAGTCCTAAAATCTGCATCTAAAATGTTCTTTCTCTGTTCTATTTAAATAATCAATGAAATGGTACAGACTGGAAGGACAAAATGAGAAATAGACATGACCAGACAGAAGCAGTTGTAAGTCTTGGACCCAGACACTAAAGGCAGGATTTAACTGTCTAAACACAAGTACTTTCCATTTGAGGTGCCCTAGAGTATCCAAAATATCCACACATATGATCTTTGCCAACAGGCTTTAAACCAGGTATGTCAGGGGTTGGTGATGACAGCTTGCAGATAAGTGAGGGAAGAGCAGTCCGGGCAGTAAATACATGGGACAGCGTGACAGGAGCAAGAGAGCCCTCAGGAAAGACAAGACAGGTTAAAAGAAGGTTTGCCTCAAGTGTTTGTGCACAAATGAGCACAGTCTGGGGAGCAAACAGGAGGAGGTGGATCTCTGTGTGCAGGTACAGAACTGAGGCAGCACAAGAATAACTGAGATGTGGCAGGATCTCTGCATTGTAAGGAACTCACAAGTTATTTAGGAACAACAAGGCAGCGAGGACAAGGAAGAGGGGTTCTGTCTATGTGAGGAAGCAGCCTGGATGTATTGAGCTCTTTTGTGGAACAGTTGGTAGAGTGATTGGGGACTTGCGAGCCATGATCAGAGGAGAGGCTGGGAAAAGCAACACTGTAGTGGGAATCTGTTACAAATCACATAGTCAATATTGGGAAATAAAGTATTTTTTAAGCTGCTCAAGAAAGTCACCAGATGGCTAACCCTTCTTCTTACAGATTACCACACCAGCACTGAAAGATTCTGGAAAGGACCTGAAGGTCCTGGTGGGCAGTAGTCTAAGTGCACTGGGAGATTTCAACAGGAGTGTAGCCACTAGATCAAAGCATGATAATTCCCCTCTGCCACTTTTTGAGGCTGCCTTCAGTTTTGGGCTCTCCAGCACAAGGAAGAAGCTGGTAAATGTCAGCAAGTCTAGCAGAGAGCTACCGAGATGATGAGGAGGCTGCAGCACATGTCTTGTCAGAACGTGGAGGCGCTGTGCTTCTTTAGAGAGAAAGATTGTTTAGGGAAGGTGTGGGGTGTCTAGTAGCAGTTTTCTGATACCTAAGAGCTAATTTTTAAGAAGGCAAACACAATTTCTTTGCTAAGGAGCATGGTGGGTGAATGAGAGCTATAAATTGAAATAGGAAAGGTTATAGCTTATAGTAAGGAAAGACTGTTCCACTGTGAGAATAATTGAGCATTGAAAGAGGGGCACAAAGAAATTATGAAATCTCTATCCTGGGAGGTTTTGAAGACCCTATCTGGACTAAGTCCAGAGCAACACCCTCTGAATGCTATGTTGATCCTTTTTTGAGCAGGGTGTTAGACTGAAGACCTCTTGGGGCTCCTTGCAGCTGGAAAGACATGCAGTTCTATCATATATGGAATATATATATATATGGTGCAGAAACTACAGGAGACACTAGCCTTTCTGGTGCTCTTCTGGTGAATATACAGTATAGAGGAAACCCAAAGGCATGTCATATGGCTTTAAGGATTGTGTTTAGGCAAAAGGTCTGATTGACTTTGAAAAAAATAGCCAAATTACACTCTTATCTTCCCACAAGAAGCGAAGTTTATGCAGAGCAGTATATGCATTCTTCTTCTTTTTTCATCTCTTTTTATCTGTTTTATCATTTTAGAATTCATTTCAGGGAAGCTTTTCATTATGGTCTTTTGACCAGATGGGAAGACTTTTCTGGCAATTCCCAACAAGTAAAATTCTCTTTTCAAAATGCTATTCAAATTAAGGAACATCTTTCAGGGTAATATCAGGACATTCCTGATTGATTTCAAGTCCGTACAATAACAGATACCACTGAGGCTAAAAATGGAGAGAGGAGTAAAATGGACTTAAAATGTTCAATCCTATAAGTAATAATCCAGTGGAAAATATAGTCTGATTTATGATACTACTCTGAGCAGCTCACACTCAAATGTTTGTACTTCTTTAATTTAAATGCTATTGGGCAGGTGGTCATATGTAGCTACATTAAAGTTGTGTCTGATACATTTTCCTTGCTACAGGTCTTGTACAGGTTGAGATTTCATGTTCACATCCCAGTATATACAAGTAAGATGGGTAATTACTTCCAAATTATTTTTGCTATTTATGAAAATATAAAGGAGATAAAATGCAGAGCAGGGATTTTCTAACTTCAACAACTTTAAACAGCTCAGAGCAGGTTTGTTTTTGCTATCTAAATATTATACTCTAGTCCTGCCTATTAAATTCAAACCAAGCAGAAGGAAAGGATGAATTTGCATATCCATTTCCATTCAGGTTATGGACTTTTAAATCCACGTTGCTTGTGTCTATAGGCTAATGAGTGCACCATTATAGAGGAGACTTAGTGTGTCACTGCATTTGGAATGTCCAGATTTTTGCTCAGCATATAATATTTTGAGGGCCATTTTTTTCAAGCATAGTGTAATAGGCTTTAACTTTGCTAAGCTTTTCTGCCAGGCCTCCAGTGCCCTGCTGTTCTATTATATTGAACTTGTAAGCAGGATGCTCTGCCAGGCTCACCCAGATTACTGCTGCAATAAGGGCCCTGCTGAGTGACTAGTGTCATGATAAGTGCTAGGGAGGGAGTTCACCATCTTGGCATACTGTTCTCATCTTATTAAATTCAGCTTTGTGGAAGCAGGGAGTCTGCCTCTCGGCCTCACTGGCTCTGGCTCAGTCCAACTGCTACTGTCAGACAATATGAAAATAGGAACCACCACAGCTAATGGCAGGTGCTGCACCACCATAGCTGAGGAAAAAAAAAAAAGAGAGATTTTTCTTTTTTTCTTTTTTCCTGATCTTTTTTTTAATAGGTACTTGACTGGATTGATTAGGAAACATTTAGGTATTTAATAACATTGTTATAGCCTTCATACCCACAGATGCTTGCTGAGATACTGTTTCTTTTTGTTCTGTCCACTTTATATAGATTCCTTTGTTCTTGCTTGCTTACTTAGATTAAAGAAATGTAATGCAAATGCGAAGTCCCTGGAACGGGTCTGATGCCATTCAGATTTAGTAAAGGATGTTGTTGTAAAGATATAGTCCTGACATCCCTATTCAGACAAAACTCCCTACTGGCTCCTGCCTGAGAAAAAATTCCCAAATTCCAGTCTTGGATTACTGCTGGAGGTGAAGCGAGTTAGCTGTTCATGCCCCCTAAACTCAGTAACCTCTGCTTGCCTCAATCTCATATTTCTTTTAAAAATCTAACTATTGGTTTCAGCTGGAAGATTCAGAAACTTCCCAGTGCCCTGAAACAACCAGCTGTGATCTGAGTGTAAGCTATGCTGCTGAATGCAGCAGGAAAAGTGAAACATCCGTAGAGAGGAGAGAGGGAACAAGGGAATATATGTTTGCAAGCCATACCCATGGAGAGAAAGAAAATTAAAATCACTCATTTTGTAGTATGAATTGCAGTAAAACACACCTTACTTCTGAATCAGAGGGTATTTGACCATCTATTTTTGAGCCTAAGGCTCATTTCAGCTACAAATGAAAAAGAGTTTTCCAAGGGCTTTTGGAAGGATAGATACATTACTTCTGCACCTGCTGGTGTGTGAGCACATATAGACTCTTCCTTGACATCAGCAAATACGTTTTTTCTCACTGTTCAACAATAAATGTTCAAATAACCCCATCATTGACACTTCAACATTTTGCAAATTGAACATGAACAACACATGCAGTAACCTTTCTGACAGAAATATTGACAAGGTCTAGCTACAGAAGTCACTTTATAGCAAAACCAAGTTGGGATCAATAGGAAATCCAGGTTTTCAGCTGCGTTTGTGGTAGGAGTTGCTAAGTCTGGCAGGTTGCATTTCATCAGCACACTTGTTGACCATGTCAGTCTTCATAAGAGTGACAGGTTTGATTAGACTCTTTGAGAGAGGCTGATTCAGAAATTCAGACAAAATAACCTCTTTCTGCCAATTTGCAATACCACATTCACAATATCCATTCCAGACTCATCAAAGCTAAGGAATAAAGGACTTAACATGTTAATCCCCCCCGAGAAAATGAATAAGAAAATTATGTCTCTGAAAAGTGTGATTTTTTTACTTGAAAAAGAAGAGTGGAGAACTATTAGTGGAACTGACTACCATGAATGTTGTGTGTCAGACCTTTCAAACCCCAGGCAATTAGCATGCAAGAGAATTCTTATCAAAATTTGAGAGCAAATGAAAGGATAAAGAAAATCTATGTGATCATGTTCATATATAAGGCAAGGCTAATTTGTTTACACCTGTTCTTCATTTCTGTATCACATTTAAAGATGTCATTTTTTAAGGTTTTCAAGTGTTCCTTCTAAATGACAGTTTTTTCCTTTTTTTTTTAATTCCCTGGTCTTTCTTGTTATCCTGACTCACTATGCTGTAACTGGGGGGAGCAACGGTAGAGTGGTATTTTTCTTGCTCTGATCACTGTGATCCACCCAAAGTAAATTGCCGAGAAAAAAAATTATTCATTTAGAAGAGGTTTGAACTTTAACTTTCCTCTTTTTTCCATCTCTTTTACTACAGCCTTAAAAAGTTCTGTTGAAATTCAGAACACAGCAGCTAATGAGTGAATTGCAGTGGAATGGCTGCTGGAAATTGTCCAGAGGAAGCGCAACCAAGAGGTAAGTAGAGAATGCTAACAATTTGAAGTTTTGCACTGTATGAAATTGGTTTTATTTTGTTTTACTTTGAGAAAAAAACAAAAATCTCAGGCTTAGATCTTTGCTACTGAATCCAGGCTTGGAATCAATAAATGTGGGATGATTGTGGCATGATTCTGGAAGTATTTTATGAGGAATGTGTGGAATCTACTCCAGCTTAGAGAAGACATTGATCTCTAGCCATTGTGCCTGAGAACATGGAACAAAGAAAGTGTTTGTTGCTGCTAATCAAACAGATTTAGTTTTGGTTTTCATGCTATAATTTAAGTGATTCAGTGGGGAGTTGCTCTTCTGTCAGATTCTGAGGGATTAAATGGCCTTGGGACATGACCTCTCTTTGTGAGGCAGAACATCAATTCAGGATTCAGTTTTTCAGATTTTTCTTTGTTGCAATATGGAAGAAGAATGCCTCTGAGATATTCCAACTGAAAACAACATTGTAACAGGGTATCAGAGCTAGAACCACTCTTCTGCAGTAAAGCTGGACCTTAAAACTCATTTCCATCTTCAGTGATTTTGCAGCTAAAAAGTTTAGTGCTTTTAAATTACAACAATCAAGTGGGCAGGGCATTAAGGTGGGCCTATAAAAAAATTCACACTGGTCTTCCATCCATCACATAAAAGCAACATAGAGCACTTTACGAAAGACAAAATCTCATCATCACTCTTCAGGCATCCTTTGTCCTGGTTGGCGGACAAACTTTTTGCAAAAGGCTTTTGTCAAGTACATCAGATATACACCAGCTGTGTAAACCCAGGCTTGTCTGTAGTATATTGGGGAAAGGTACGAACATAAAAATCTGAAACGATGAGCCAATCAAGTAATTGCTTTAATTAAGTCAAGATATCTGTGTTTGAGGTTTTATTTATTTATTTACTTATTTATAACTGTATGAGAAAAGCATTTTTTTTATTTGACAGTCTGGAGGTAAATATACCCTTGCGATATTTGTAGCATGGATGCTGAATTGCCACGCTGACGCAGAAAAGTAAAAGAGAAAAAAAATAATCTATTTTCACTTTCCAAGTTGAATGAAATGTGAAAAATAAACAAACAGCACAGATGGTGAAACAGTTTAAATTTTAAATTCTCTCCCAGTGTTAATCATTTCCAATATTTAAAACAGCATGATAGCAACATATATTAAAATATGTTATTTTATTTAAATAAAAACTTATTAAGCAGATGAGCAATTCACTATTTTCAGCAAAGTCAAATCTAAAAAAATATTTTTGGAATATAATCAGTTTAAATGTTGCTACATAAATATTAAACAATATGTTCAAATGCTGAATCTGGCAGAATCTTATTGCCGTCTACTGTGGATAGCATATCTGAAAACTTACAGTTCCGTATGTTCATTTCTTTTTCTTTATTAATTTGCCAAGTAAGTGTGGACAAGCAGAACTAGAATTCTCAGTAAGTCTCATTGTTTTTCAGTATTCTCACAAATGGAACACAAATTTTGGAGAGAATCCCAAATGGCAGGTGCTGACACTAAGTAGAGACAGGAACAGCCTTCTTGTTAACATATTATCTACTCCTCACCTACCTCTGCTCTGTTACAAAGCTCATTGACAATGAAAGCTAAATGAACTAACTGAAAAGTAATTCAGTACTGTTACAAGTATTTCAGATAGCTTTCTGCAGCTTGGGAGCAAACAAGCAGAGAAATCTTCTCTATGCCTAGCCCTGTTGGATAATATTCAAGCTGCTATATTTTCTTTTCAGAGCAAATTTAAGCATTCTTTGCAAAAGGTGGTGTCCTGGAGTGCTGAACTGGGGAAACAGAAAGACAGATGGAGGAAATCAAATGAATCAGGTACTGCTGCTTGCAAAAGGAATTGAATGAGATGGACAAATAGTTGATATGACCTTAGTAGAACTATTTTGCTGTGTAACAGATCCATTAATAAATTTTGTAATGTTAGGGTGTTCTATATGTTAAAATTGATCTAAATAGTCTCATCCCATCATAATCTCTAATTTAGTTCTTTCCAAAGGTTAGAAGAAATATATTAGTTTATGCAGTGTTGCAAGTAGTTTAGGTAATGATATTTATTTACACATAAACATTTTCACTGTTCTTCCCTTCCTCCTGTCAAATCCCAGGGTGTTCCCATTGTTCTCACAGTCTGAAGAGCCAAAGAGCTTTTCATGCATAATATCAAAGACAGCTATATGGTAGTGACTCTGAAGGATATCTTTTTATTTAGAGGTCCCCATGAATGTTCATTCTGATATGTCACTGATTGTGCTGTCAGTTCACAGAACTTTCTTTTTTGTTTTCTCCTTTAACTTGAGGATTAAATTTCAGTATTAGTCTGAGGGAGCTAAGGTCTCAGTGTTCATACCCTTTTTGGAAACTGTAACTCTGTGGTAGATACCTTGTGAGTTTTGCTGGGTAAATATGAAACTGCAGTGTTAGCTTGCTTTGAGGCAACTGAAATAGAGAGCAGAGGGTGCCTGTACCCCCTCAGTGGGTAGGCACATATATTACACTGCCAAGATTTTCCAAAATGGTTAGTGGCTGAAGGTGTTGTGGCTGGTGGGTGCCACAGTTGAGATAGCTCATAATGAGACTGATTTTTGGAAAATAGCCTTTGAAACGAGGCTTTTAACAACGAGGCTCTAACGCTCTCAGATTTCTGGCAGTGTGCTGCCTTGTATTCCTCCTTGATTTTTGTAGCCCTCACTGTGGACCATCTCTGGTGACTATCACAAAGGCCATCTCCACTGAATGTTTATTTAAGTGGTACTCGTGATAGATTCACATCCTTTACATAGCAGCCACAAGAGGGGGATGTGGAACACTCACAGAATATTAGGGTTTAGTCCTCTCAGTTGTCAGTGTTACCGATACTTTCTCTGATTTTTACCATCCATCCACTTTTACCACCAGGCATATTTTTCTGGAAATCACGGCTTGCAACAGTTTATTTTAGTTCGGAGAAACCTTTAGTGGAACCTTCAGATGGAAATATTCTGTCACCCAAATTTGACCCCCTTTTGCTCTTTGATACAACAGTTACGGCTGTTTGACACTTTTAGAGAACTGTGCAGCTATCTCAGCACAGAAAAAGGGGTTAACGGAACAACATGGGTTTTATTCCAATAAAAAATTCTAATTGATATATAGATTGTAATCACAGGAAACCTTTTTTATTTTACAGCAACTGTGCTGTAATGGGCTATTTTAGGGGCAGAGTAGTACATACTGTAAAAAATTCGTACATGAGGGCAAAAGGAATAGACAATTGCTTTTGGGGACTGTGTAGATTAGTACATCATTGCACACTAACAAAGTGCTAATTGCTCCTTTTGACCACGGGCCCAGTTTACAGAGCTTTAGCACAAATGTGTCCTGTACACTAAATTATAAAACTAACACTGCATTATTTCTCTCTACAGCTTGCAAATTCTTGCAAATTACTCAGGTTGCAAATCCTGCATTTATTTTGTGGCAGAAATAGTAAAAGCAAACACTATACATATATTTGTATAATTTTAGGATTGTTTTAATACTGTGTATAATTTCACCGGTAATTTACTTCTACTCAGTACGTTAGCCAAAAACAAATAGGTGTGAACTACTTTGAACAGGTTGTTGGTATGGATTTTATAGAAGTTTTAAAATAGCAGCTGTTTAGAATAATTGTCAAGTATTTTATGATCATTTAATAACTGGGAAAAAGAAAACCATGCAGAACAATCTCTCTTCTTTATCTTCGTTGGAATCACACTCAGAATGGCTGATGTTTTAGTTCAGAAAAACAGTATGTCACTTCTGCAACTTTTGTAGAAGTCCAGAATTATTTGCTTACAGCTCTTTCCACCCCTCGAACAGAATAGAAAGAAGCATTGCAACAAGACACATGCAGAGTCAATAGGAGATCTCACTTGCTTGTAAAGGCATAAATCTACAGGTGTCACTTCCATTTTGCTGCACATCATTTAAGCCTTTTATGTACCAGCTCTTGATTTTGTTTTTCGGCTAGCAGGGAAATTTGAAGATTGGGCTTCTTTCATGTATGTCTTTTGGTTCCTCTTGTCTTCTCATGCAAGAATTCTTAGAGGTCTGACAGTCTCTTTATATAAGCAGCCTGGCACTAAGTGAATTTAACATCCACTGTAATTTAATTCTAGCTTTGCAGATTCTTAATTTTGGATCTTAAGAACTGAGTACTAGAGACTGAACCTGAGACTTCAGTCATGTGCTGTAGTATTTGAGATTGGAGCATGTACCAAAGTATTTTACTTAGGAAAAGGTATTTGGTAAGGGAAAAGAAAAGATGCTGTAGTTTTGTGAAAAGAACAGACTAAAGTATTGCCCAGGTTTTCCTTTCACACATTGCTAAAACAATGTGAATACTGAATAACATGAATTCTACTTTCTAGTCTATTTTTTTTAATAAACAAGATGATTTAAAAAAAAGACTAACTGAAAAGGACAGGTATGTGTCACCATAAGGGCACTCTGTGTCACAAAGCAAGTATGCCTTAGTTCCAGCCAAAACAACCACCCACTCAGGGTACTGAAGGGTAGGCATGCTGTTATGACCCAGATTCAAATGGTGAAAGTAGGAGTGAGAAAATGAAAGTGTTAATAATATTTCAAGCACAGAGCTAATGGGAGGAGCATTTCTGGGATTCCCCTTTCATTCCTATTCTCTCTCAAAAGGAAATTGTGGACTTCCATTAAAAAATAAGAAAAAAATAAAAAAGTCTCTTTGGCTTATCACCAAATGTTGAATATTTTGACTGAGTGATATATGGCAGAACTGTGCACCTGTCCTGTCTGGAAATGTATGTGTGAATACTGAAGAGGAATAGATGAACTGAGAAGTATAAAATATTGGAGGACTTGAAACTTTGACTAGTGCTGAAACATTTTTTGTAAATGGGAAAAGATTTGTCATTTAACGTACTGACATACTTCTTTGTTTTGCTGCAGCTGACATAAGTTTGAAAGAGAATAAATCTTTTGCAGACATCAACACCAAACCAGAAGCCTACCCCACCAAATAGCTTGCACAATAGCATTTTGGAAAGGATGGAACACATGTTTACCATATTGCTGCAAAAACTCCTTTTTCTTACTCCTTGTTGTGCCTAATTCAGTTCATTCTTATTAGAACAAGCATTTTTATGTTTCTGAATTTATGTTGTGTATTTTATGTTTTATGGAAATACTAGGAAGCTGTGCAACTCAGATAGGCTCGGTATGATATTAGCACTGAATGTGATTAAAGAAGAGTTAACATGAGCAAATTCAATTGTTTTACAGTAGTTGCTTTTTTAGTTTTTAGTTAAGTTTAATAATTGAGAATCAAAGCTTTATCAGACTCTATCAGCTCCTATGTTGAACAACATTCATAGATACAAATTACTTGATGCATTGCAAGTGTATTGTAGGGTAGATTCTCTATAATGGAAATAAGGATTGCAGCATCAAACTTTCTGAAAATTTCTGCTCCTGTGGAAGTCCTGTATTCAGCCTATTTTCACAAAGTAAGTGTAGGACAGTATCTGATAGTCCTCCTTCCTTTACCTTGTTCAAACTTAAGTGGGTTACAGGGCTACCACTACTTTTTTCTGTTAATCTTTTCTTCCTTTGACGTAGGCAGCTTTTGGGTTGGAAAGAATGAGAATCATTAAGTCATAGAAGTAGTTAGGTTGGAAAAGATCATGAAGTTCAACTGCCAACCCAGCACTGCCAAGTCCACCACTAAGCCATGTCCCCAAGTGCCACATCTGCACATCTATTAAATACCCCCAGGGATGAGAGCTCCACCATTTCCTGGGCAGCCTGTTTCAGTGCTTGGGAAACCTTTCAGTAGAGAAATTTTTCCTAATATCCAATCTAAACTCCCCTGGCACAACTTGAGGACGTTTCCTCTTGTTCTATCACTAGTCACCTGGGAGAAGACACCGACCCCCACCTGGCTACTCCCTCCTTTCAGGCAGCTGTAGAGAGCAATAAGGCCCTGAGCCTCCTTTCCTCTGGGCTGAACACCCCCAGCTCCCTCAGCTACTCCTCATAGGACTCCTCATAGGACTCCTCATAGGACTTGTCCTTGAGAACCAGCTTTGTTACCCTTCTCTGGATGCACTCCAGCCCCTCAATATCTTTCTTGTAGTGAGGGGCCCAGAACTGAGAACAGGATTTGAGGTGTGGCCTTACCACTAGTACAGGGGGACAATCACTGCCCTGGTCCTGCTGTCCACACTATTGCTGATACAAGCCAGGATGCCATTGGCCTGCTTGGCCACCTGGACACACACTGGCTCATGTTCAGCTGGGTGTCAAGCAGCACCCCCAGATCCTTTCCCATCAGGCAGGTTTCCAGCTGCTCTTCTCCAAGCCTGCATTGTTCAGTGGGGTTGTTGTCACCCAGCAGGACCCTTCACCTTGTTGACCCTCACACAATTGGCCTTTTCCCATCATTCCAGCCTGCACAGATCCCTCTCTAGACCCTCCTTACCCTCCAGCAGATCAACACTCCTGCCCCACTTAGTGTCATCTGCAATCTGACTGAGGGTGCAGTCGATCCCCTCATCCAGATCACTGATAAAGATACTAAACAAGACTGGCCCCAACACTGATCCCTGGGGAACACCACTTATGACCTGCTGCCAACTGGATGCAACTCCATCCACCATCTTGGCCTGGCCATCCAGACAGTTTTCTTTCCCAGCAAAGCATGCACCTGTCCAAGCCACAATCAGCCCTTTTCTCCAGGAGAATGCTGTGGTAAACAGTGTCAAAGGCATTACTAAAGTCCAGGTAGACAACATCCTGGATGACAGCTTTTCACTCAG